AGGTCAGGTTGGACGGGGCTCTGAGCAACCTGATCTCATTGAAGATGTCCCTGCTAATTGCAGGGGGGTTGGACTAGATGACCTTTAGAGGTCCCTTCCAACCCAAACTATTCTGTGATTCTACGATCCTGTGATTTTCCTGAGTAACATCTTCCTGAATGAGAGAGACCGAGTGCCTTGCCTTAAGTAATATGGATTCAACTCTGGAATCGCACTCCAGTGCACCCATACTTCCTCCAGCACATTGACTGCAAGGCACTGCTTTATTCCCTGCCTATTTCCTTCTCATGCTTGGCACCATGGATTTCCCATCACATTCACATGTTCTTTTTTTAACTTGAAGGCCTAGAAATTTCTGTCCTCCACTGCATGCCATTGAACACTTGGTAAAACCCAGCCTACCCCTTGCATGAGCCATGTAGAGTCATGAGGATGTTCTGTATTGCTCCACAGAAATTCCCCCTCTCCTCCCAGCTGCACCCTCTGGCACTCTTCTGGACTTTTTTTATTCTGTCCCCACCAGACAAATTCCATTTTTCCTTCCATTTTGCCCTCTTCATTTTTATTCCCAGTCCAAGACACTCTTTGCCTCTTCCTTTATCCCCTGCTCCCCTCCTCACGTAATAGAAGAGCTGTCCCCTCCCCAGTCTGGTTGTGTTTAACTGTCCTCATTGCCAGGGAAGGGTGCAGGAAGAGGAAAAGAGACCGTAGATCACAGCTGAGCCAAGGTCAGTGGCCAGCAGCCTGGTAGGGAGATGCAGCATCTGTGACCCCATGTACCAGAAGAATTAACAGGAGGCAACCCATGGGCAGCTGGGGACAAACATCTGCAGAAGTTGTCAGGCTCCAGATGTGGCTCCAGTCTTATGCTACGGTCATTGATCAGGCAGCTGGGGAGGTGGTAAAGACACCACTGTCCTTATGCTCTGGTCCAAAAACAATTCTCCCATCATTTTTAATCTAGACTAATTCTTCTAAAGGCCAGTCTAGGTTTATACTGATATAAAAGAGGATGCAGTCTGCACCTTTACACCACAAAAGTTCCCCCCCTCTGTTTCTCACCAGATAATACAGGGCATTATGAGGGTAGGAGCTTGAGTGAGGATTTATTGCTGAAGGAGGAATGAAAACAATTCCTGGGTCTGCTCCTGCTCCACTTGAAACCAATGAATATTTTTCCTATTGATTTCTGTGAAAGCAGAATTGGACCCATCCTCTTTTTTCTTCTGGTAAATATGCTAATAAGGGGGAAAGAATAAGTTTTAGATCTTGACCCATTGGATATGACAAACTGGTGACACCAATTACCCTGGGGACTTCAGAGCTGTCTAAATGATGGGATCACATTTCTGTGTGGCGCCTGTACACCCAGAGCATGCTCCGATGCTGTCTCTCAGTCAGCCTCCCTATCTGTGTCACTCCCTATCTGCTTCATCTCACAGTCTCACACAAAAGGGAAGGAAGGGAGAGGCAAGGCTGTGTGACGTTCCCTCTCCCTCGGACCAGACTAATCCACCTCGGACTGCTGGCTCTTAGATATCAGGGTGATTGGCACCTCATAAATGCCAGTAGGAGATGGAGGGATCAACAGGGGGAGAGGGAAAGGGGGGGGGCAGTTTTATTCAGCCCAATCTGAAGTTGAAGAGCTAAGGCAAGTCAAAAGGAGGGAAGGTGAAACAGTGAAAATGCAAAAGCAGGACAGCGGTGACAGCTGATGCCACTGCCACCACCAACTTGTGCGACCTTTGGGTGAATCATTTGCCCCCCTGGTCTCATTCCCCCATGTACAAATAAAGCTGATGATCAGATTTATTTATTTTCCCTTCTTCCTCATAGACATGGCTCTCTCTTGTGCTGTCTCTCCATGGATTTTCACACAGGGGTATGATGGTAACACAAGTTTAAGAACTGCCTCAGTGCTTAGTAATAAGGCCAGGACTGGCATGAGACACTGGGCTCTCTGATTTGTACTCATAACCTCTTCTCCCAGACATCCCACTGCAGTCCAAGCTTGACTGATATCTCCATGTAAGAGTTCCCAAGCAAATCCATGAAAGCTGGTTAATCATCAGTTTCTAATGGT